CGAGCTTGGCACTGACTCGAGCTTGGTGCTAGATCGAATCCCCAGTCTTAGTTCGAGCTCGGTTCTGCCTTGGAGCATCCCGATCCGGACGCGGGTTCGATAATGATATCGAGTTTTGCGGTAGATTGGTCTTATGGCTCGAAGCTCGACGTCACTACTTCGGAATTCGTCCGAGATCGCCATGCGGATACCCTTCGATTGAAACGTTATTGTCTCGACCGGTCTTTATGATTGAGAATCGATTTTGACCGTTCACAGGAGGCGCAGAAGAAAATTAAAGTACGAGCCCTTCAAGTTTGAACGCTTATAACAATTAATTTGTATGAGTGTAATAAGTCGTTTTTTGTCCGAAATCACTGGCTTGAAAGCTAAAGCAAAGAGTCTGAAGTCTCTGGACTCACTGGTGTTATTGGATAAGGACACAAGGCAAGCAAGAAAGACTAGCCAGAGACGTACTGTAGTAACAAGACATAAATAAAAAAAAGTTTAAATCTTGCAAGGCAAGTTAAGAATGTAAGGTCACATTCAACTGCACATCCACCCATGGCCGCCACCTTTATTTTGTTTCTTTCTGCTTTCTTTTACTTCAAACGTGAAGCCACCGGTTTGAATGAGTAGCAGGATCACTATTAAAAATCACATGTATACCGACGGACTTCCCTCGTTAACAAGGCTGCACCGAAGTAAGTCCGTCGCTAAGTAGTAAGTAGGTAAATTCTTTCTCGGTAAAATAAACCGACAGAATTTCTCGGTAATTATCAATGAACCCCATCGGAAAGTCATCGGTATATTTCTGACAGTAAGTGGTCAAATAATTTTACTTACCAACGGATATCCGTCGGTATATTATAAAATAATATAAGGCCAAATACATACGCAAATACTTAAACTTGTCCCAACTTTTTATTTAGACACCTAAACTAAGCTTAGGACCTATCAAACACTTAAACTAGATTAGAACTATACCAATTGAACACAACTGGATGATATGGCAAGTCATGTGTATCTCACCGAACAAGCGCGCTTAATGGCAACAAAAATTTAATTTCTGTTTGTTTTTTTCCAAGTTGTCTTGTTCTCCATGCTCACGGTCATTTTCTTCTTCAAAGCCAAAATTCTTGTACGAGAAAATAGAGTTTCACCAAAATTTTTTTGGATGAGTTGTAATCATTTTCTTCTTCGTGTGTTAAGAGACCCAAATCTGCCTTCATCGTCTTCGCCAAAAAATATTTGAGACCCAACAAATACGAATTCAAATTTAATTAGCCCTCAAATTAGAACTTCACAGCTTTAAAACATAGACTATAAAATGTCATGCTCTCAGTGAGTTAGATAATGGCAAGAGATAATAGCAAGAAAGCTTTTTAGGAACTCACGAGCAAGCTCCAAACGTCAAGTAGATCAAACAAAGCGGACACTGACACAGCCAAAACTATGAACCAGAGAGCTCGAGGATGAGAAATCCGAAAAGCTCCCAATTGGTTCGGGGTTATGACATTAGCAATTATGAGCTTGCCTCATTTTTCCGATACAAGATGAGCATGAAGAAGTTATTTAGAACACCTATGGAAGACGGTAGTTCAAAAACCTGGTGGGTTTTGATTTTTATTTTATTCAAATATTTTGACTTTTTGTGCTGAGGTTCACTGGTTGTATTTGCCACATCAGAGTAAGTGTCTTTCACGCACTATAGGTTGTTTAGAATTGTAAAATAAGTGCTCAATTGGTATAGTTTTAACCTTGTTTAAGTGTTCCATAGGTCATAACCTTAATTTAAGTGTCTAAATAAAAAGTTGAGACAAGTTAAAGTGTCTGCATATGTATTTGTCCATAATATAATATTAATAATATCAATACCGACGGATATTCGTCGGTAAACTAAAAATAATAATTTAATATTACCGACGGATACCATTGGTAAATTTAGAATTTTAATTTAGTAATTTAAAAATTAAAAATATGAATAAATTCATATTCCGATGGATATCCGTCGGTATTTTCAACAAAATTTAAAAACTTGGTTCAAGTCTACCGACGGGTTCCCTCACTAATTAAGAATTCTGGACTGAAAATGAGTAAGTGTTCCGACGGACTCTGTCGGTAAGTCCCTCGTTAAATCTGGTACATTTTTGGCAGAGAGTGCCTATTTTTTGTTGCACCACCTGCGAGCCAGAATATTATAATAGAAACAGAAATGCAACTACAATAAAACTCAACTTAACAACAATAAAACTTTATAAACTATCCAAGCATCCAAATGATCCCATCAAACATCAAAACTATCCAACCAAACTTTAAAATGTAACATTCAAAGTTAACATCCAACTAAACAACAATCCAACCAAACATGAAATCACTCCTCATCTTCGGATTTCCCCTCATCTTCTTCATCATTTATATTATTTCCATCACTTCCATCCTCTTCATAAATGTGACTTTTTGGCGGAGAGCGGGGCAGGCCGATTAAGTGGTTTACTTGAGCCTTGAGGGAGTCGATGTCATTCTTAAGTGCGTCTTTAATCTTCTCTTCATGCTTTCTTTTTTCTCGTTCATCCGCATAGTTCCTAGAAAGTTGTTGAATCGTTTGTCGTATCTTTTCAAGGTCCTCATTTTGCACGGTGACGGATGTCCCAATACCTTGTAATCCACAAAAGAGAAGTGAAAAAAATACACGAAGAGTTAGAATTGAATAATTCAGCACCTAACTTCATAAACTTTAACTAGGGAACATCGACTACCATACATACCATGAAATAGAAATGTCAGACTAAGTTGGGGCAAAACATTTTTGTCCTACCAACTACCATCAAAATAAAGCCTTATTTATTTTCTTTGCTGAATCTTTATTTCCTTTTATTGTCAGTGTCCTCTTTTACGTATTAATGACTACAATTAAATGGCAACTTTAGTTTTAAACTGTTGATATATAATGCAGAATAAATTTAAGGGAGAAACGGGTAAAGAAGAAATTATGCGACATATTTCCTTACCAAGAATCCTTAACACTACATTTCTGAATTTAGGTTTTTTATACGCTCTAAACAATTGCATAAACGCCCAATATAGGTTCTTTATACACTCTAAACAAGAAAAACAAAATCCAATTTGTGCAAATATAAAAGAAACTCATTACATAATCTAGCCAATAAATAGAGATTTGTAAATAATAATGAAATAAAAGTAGTACTGATATATATACTGTTAATAATGCAATAGACTTATTTTGAAGATGAACACTGCCCTAATTTTTAGATTTAGGGCAGAAATAATTCGAAAATAGAGAGAAAAACTCACCGAGATAAAGGTCTTAGTAGGGTTTTGCTCTTTTGCCCAATTCTTAGAATGGCAACGGCACCGGTCAAGTCACAGCCACTGCATTATTTCTCTTTACCCGGTTGAAATGGGGCCAAAAAAGCCACACTAACACCAACCACCACTTCCGCCGCCGCGAGTCTCCTTCGTCTACAGCCGATAGCCACCTCAATACACCCCAAACCACCGAGTTAAACGGTGGTTCTGACTTAGACAAGCTCCCAGTAGAAGAACAAAGACAAGAAGAACAAAGACAAGACAAAGACAAGCTCTCAGTAGAAGAAGAAGAAGAAGGGCAAAAAGAGGAAAAAGAGGAAAAAGTGTTGTGGAATTTAAGGCGAAGAAAGAGTATAATGAAGGTGGGGTTAGAGGCTGAAACGACGTCGTTAAAGAAGAACATGAAATTAAGAAAGAGGTAAACCACCCAATAATCTTAATTATCAAATGCTTTAATTCTGTGTTGTGGAATTTATGTGTAATATTTAAGTTTTTGAAAATATTTAATTCTGAAAATATTATGCCCGTAATTGTAATATTTTCAAGCAAATGTAGTAATTAGCAAGATGTGATTAATTATTTTATTACTCCCTCCCATCCACTTTAATTGAGTTTTTAGATGTTTTAACATATATTAAGAAACTCATCTTTTAGCATTAATTAACAATGAAATTGACCATGAAATATAAATAATCCTGATAAAGGGTAATTCATCTTTTAACATTAATTAACAATGAAATTACTATTAATAATTTAAAATAAATCATAAGCTAATGTAATTATTAATTTATAAGCTAATTACTACTAAACCACTTTTACGTAGTTAAGTATCAATTAATAGTCTAATCAATCACTAATAGTACTTAAGGATATCACTAATGCACTTCTACTTAGTGTAGTTATCATTTTATAAACTAATCAATGAGTAATATTTCTTAAGAATACTGCTGATACACTTCTACTTAGTAGAATTTTCAATGTATAGGCTAATTGATCACTAATCTTTCTTACTGATATTACTAATACACTTCTACTTAGTGTAATTCTCAATGTATAAGCTAATCAATTAGTAATAGTTCTTAAAAATACTATTAATATACTTCTACTTAATTAGTCTAATTATTAATACATGGGCTAATCAATCATTATTATTACTTAAGGATACCACTAATACACATTTATTTTCTGTAATTATCCATTTATAAGCTAATCAATCGCTAACATTTCTTACTGGTATATTTCTAATACACTTCTGCTGAGTGTGAGAACTAAGAATACTACTAATACACTTCTACTTAATTAGAGTATGTGTGTGTATATGTGTGTGTGTGTATATATATATATATATATATATATATATATATACACACACACACACACTAATCAATCAGTAATATTATTTAAGGATACCACTAATAAGTATCTACTTTTTGTAATTATCAATTTATAAGCAAATTAATCGCTAACATTTCTTACTGATATTGCTAATACACTTCTGCTTAGTGTAATCCTCAGTGTATAAGCTAATCAACTAGTAATAGTTCTTAAGACTACTACTGATAAACTTTTACTTAATCAGTGTAATTACTAATAGATAGGCTAATCAATCATTAATATTACTTAAGCATATCACTAATATGCATCTACTTTATGTAATTATCAATTTATTATCTAATCAATCGCTAACATTTCTTACTGATATTACTAATACACTTCTACTTAGTGTAATTCTTAATGCAGAAGCTAATCAATCAGTAATAGTTTTTAAGACTATACTAATACACTTCTACTTAATTAGTATAATTATCAATGTATAGACTAATGAATCACTAGCGTTACTTCAGGATACCATTAATATTACTTAAGGATACCACTAATAAATCTCTACTTACTTTAATTATCAAACTAAAGATAAACAATCACAAATATTTCTCACAAATAGCATTAATACACTTCCATTTAGTGTATAATTATTAATAAATCGGCTAATCAANCTTAACGTTACTTAAGGACACCATTAATACACTTCTACTTATAGTAATTATCAATTTATAAGATAAACCATCAATAATATTTTTTACGAAAATGACTAATACACTTCTTCTTAGTGTGTAATTATTAATGTATAGGTTAATCAATGTAGTTAAAGATACTACAAATTCACTTTTACTTTGTGTAATTATAAATTACTAAGCTAATTACCACGAATATATTTTTTAGTAGTGTATTACCTCCACTTAGTGTGAATTTCAATAAATAGACTAATCAACCACTAAGATAATTAAGTAAATACTTACCGAGGGACTTACCGGCGGCCTCCCTCGGTATTGTGTAATAAAAAATACAAAATAATTATCTATAAGATTATATATTTAAGTTACCGACGGAAGTCCATCGGTACTGTAAGAACAAAATTCAAAATATTATGTAAATGCAATAGGATTGAGTACGCCGATAACTTTATTTTCTTTTTCATTTATTTTTTTCTAAAAGCACCGAGAGACACCGTCGGTACCAAAAAAAATAATTCAAAAATATAAATACAAAATGTTCCGAGGAGTCCGTCAGTAAATTACCGACGGAGTGCATCGGTACAACCAATTAAATTTTGACCGGTCAAAATATTATTATTTACCGAGAGTTGTCCGTCGGTTATTTTAAAAAAAATAGAAATTAAAAGGTTCAAAAGTACCGAGGGACTCCGCCGGAAAGTCCCTCGGAATAGCGACGGAAAAAAGTCCGTTGGTACTGGGGCGTCGATAAATACTAGTAGTGAATACTAGTAAATTAAAGACCAAATAATGCTGACATTAATTAGGAAGAGTTCTGTATTTATCCCCGCGTTCACAATGGGTACGTTCTGTTAAACCTGCAAAATAACATACTATACTATGATCCAGAATTTGGGAAGATCTAAGATTACAGGAACATGAGTGTTCCACTAAAGATAGGAGGAAAAAGAAAGTATTACGTAGAAATTATTCCTATTCAATCAGAGGCGGATTCAGGATTAAAATTTTATGTGTTCAAATTCGTAATTCTATCACATATTATCTAATTTAATGGGTTCAAGATTTATTATTGGTACATATTTAATAATTTTTGACAAAAATACAGGGTACGAGCGAAAGTTATGGTTTCAATTGAAATCATAACTTCTACGCTGGAATCTGGATACATTTAATCAAGTGCACCATTCAGCTTTTTTTAAAACATGAGGCCAACAAATAATATTTGTTCCGGAGAATACATACATGAAATATCAAATTTAACAGAAAGATCATGAATCCATGTGTATCGTCTTTTGAGCACTACATCTGCCCCTGGTGGGGAGGTGGCTTTTGTAGACGTAAGAATTCTGTTTCCTTCAAATATAGGGAGAGGGGAAGAGGCGGTGAGAGCCAGAATTTTCATTAAGAGGTATTAGAATATAAGAATTTAAATACGCTATAAAATTAAGGGAAGTCAATGTATAATAAATATACATAAAATTAAAAAAATTATCTAACAATGCATTGTAATTTTCCGGCGAAGGAGTGTCGATTACACCCCTCGGTTGAATGTGGCTCCGCCACTGCCAGAGGGGGAAACAATTTTCAAATGTTTATTACGAGTTTTCCAAATGATTAGGATTTGGTTGGTATATGACGCAGAAAATGACTTTCTAAAAGTATTTTTAAGAAGAAGCTTTGTCTCGTTATTACTCTCTAAAATTTAGAAGTTATTCAATGGACTATCGGAGAAGAAAAACGAAGAAAGTCATTTTCCCCTTTTTAATGAAAATATTTTTCAAAAATAATAATTTTTGGTATTTAATTGCTAAAAAATGACTTATTTGCTGAAAAATATTTAAATACTACTCCGAAATTATTAGGTGAATATACACCTGCCACGGACCCTGCTAGCTCCACCACTCCTTGAATTTGAGAGCTGCTTCTCTCCAATGACTTGTCATTATTATTATTATTATTATTACTTATCTTTCACATCTTTTCTGAAGCAGCAGCAACAACAACAACTAAAGAAATTTAATTAGTCACCTATAAGTTGCAAAGACGTCTAAAAACTAAGACTAAGGAGTTAGGATTTGGAAATTGGAAGTTCTGGTCGTTAATTTTCTTGAGAAATAAGAAGTTCGAGTAGTAGTTAATTAGTAAAGTATACTATTTATGAAATAAAATGTAAGAAGGGGAAAGATTAAAGTCAGTCTTCACTTATCTTAAGTCTTAACTTTAACATCTTACTTTAGAGATAATATAATAGACCCACTTATAGAACCTTATCTCAAACTCCTTTCATCTATTCCATTCGTCAATCCACATTTATCTCCTTTTTGTTATGAAAATAATTATAATGTGGATGTGCATTTATTATTCCGCTATAGATAATTTTCCTGAAAAAGATTATTCGTTTGGCACTCTATTGAAATTTATCTACAAACAGCTGATGCAGGCAGGTTGTAAACAACTCAATGAAATGATTTGCATAAGCTTCTCATTAAACAGGCAGATTGCAAGCAGCTCATGCAGACAGCTTACAAGCAGCTCAAGAAAAGCCTCGCAACTGCTTCCTTTCTTCTATAAATAGAGGAGTTTTCAGTTCATTATTTATATCAGTTTGAAGTTGAATAATATATCAGTTTCTCTCTATACTTGTCTTTACTTTACAGTCTTTATTTTATAATACGTTATCAGAACGAGACTCTGCCATCTCGAGCAAATACTTTGAAAGTATCAGAGGTACGAACTTTCTTTTTCTAAATAATGTCAAATCTTTCTAAATTTGAATTTGTAGCCCTGGATATATCAGGCAAAAGCTACATGTCTGGGGTGCTTGATGTTGAAATTTATCTTGATGTGATGGGTTTGGCAGACACCATAAAAGACAAAAATCAGGCATCAAATCAAGATCGTGCCAAGGCAATGATATTCTTACGTCATCACCTTGATGAGGGCTTGAAAATGGAATATCTTACTGTTAAAGATCCAGTCATACCGTGGAATAATTTGAAAGATAGATATGACCACCCGAAGATGGTCATTCTTCCACAGGCACGATATGATTGGACTCATTTAAGGCTACAAGATTTTAAATCTATCAATGAGTATAATTCTGCTATGTTAAGAATTATTTTCCAATTGAAATTATGTGGTGATAATATTACTGATCATGATATGTTGGAGAAAACTTTCACCACTTTTCATGCCTCGAATATGCTCCTACAACAGCAATATCGAGAGATGGGATTCAAAAAGTATTCATAACTTATCTCATATCTTCTTGTAGCCGAGCA